ACAACTCCCGCCACTGATTGGGCCAGAAGGAGGGGAGTGGCGGTCACAATTCTGAGCGGGCTTGGGCAAACTCAACCCAGGGCCAGACTCATCTCTAACCACAGGCGCCGGATCTGCATCTTCCTTAGGGGTAATGGAAGAGCGACCTTCCACAAGTAGGCAGCACCTTGACAGTCAGGGTGTCTGGAAGTCCAGCAAACAGGAAACACAAGCACAGTGCGCCTCCCTTGTGTAGAAGTCTTTATTAGTTACATTTTTAAAGCAAGAAATGTACTCACAAAGAGCCAATGGTTGAGTCTGTATAGTAAAATCTCTCATCGGCACTGTGAGGACATCAGAACAGTGCGGGAAGGAGGTGCGGCGTGGATGCGGGCGGGTCTGCGAGCGTGAGGTGCGGAGGAGGTGCGGCGCGCAGCATGTGTGGAGCCGTGAACAGGGCCAACTGATCGGAAGCCGATTCATCGATTATTGAAAAAGTTGACAACTTTTTCAATAATCGATTATGTCGATTAGTTGTTGCAGCCCTAAGCCACAGCATAAGCCATGCAGACTGGAGGACACGTCCTTACTGCAGATCAGACTCCTCTCTAGTCATGAGGACAACAGCGCCACAACCAGGTCTGTCATGTTTGCTGGTGTGTTTTGAACGGTGGACCCCTTTATGATTGAGAATAATGGGTAACAGTTTTCTGCAATCTGCTTTTAGATACAGCAAGTGCTCAGACAGACATGTACAACGCACTCAGTCGCTGCTCCCCAATGAGGGATGACGAGGGTCACAGGAAAGGAAGCTGAACAGGTGTCACCGGGGATCACTGCCGTGCTGCACATCTTTGTGGTAAGGAACCATCACAGAAAATTGTGCAACAAATTTAGAAAGTGGTTCCATGTGCCGGAATGGGTCTGCAAGCGGCCAAATCTGTTGAACTGAATTAACAGTAATTTTTTGGTTGTAAAATGTTGACGGAGATAGGTCAGGAATGTGAGCAGAGCAGTATGGCAACCTGTGCACATCAGTAAATGTTAACAGCCGATACATTCTTGTCAACGTTTATGACAATGACTAGCCGTAACCAGCCACAACAGCATCGGGACAGAGGCTTGGTGCATCCGCCTTCTGAGAAGTGGCCAGCCTTCACACTACTGATGTCACAGCGGTACCAGGAAACCGTGTTACGTGGGGTGTCAGACTTGGCTGCAAATGCCGACAAGCAGGACAGAGGTTACTCCACCCGCATACTCTGCTGACATGGCCTCTGAAGATCATCTGTGCTGTTAATTATTGCATGCGTGTAAAGGTGACTAAAGCTACAGTCATATCTTCTGGTGACCTATATGCAGGGCTTAAAAAATCCGCTCGTCCTGCTGTCTGTGACGATAGGACGGCGGAACCGGACAAGTAGCTTCCCGTCCGGCCGTTGTAATTAAATGGCCGGCCGGGAGCTTTACATTCAAGCGATCGGACGTTGCCGGTCCAGAGATCCGCTGTGCCTGGTGCGGCCGGGACCACCACAGCTGATCTGTGACAGGAGAGCCAAGGGAGATCAGTACACGATCTCCCTCCGATCGCCTCTCCGTCCACGATTGCAGGAAGTGATGTATGTTACAGATCTCTGCTTCATCAGCTTCTCTGTAGGTCCCTAGATGACAGGAGGTCTTGGAGACCCCTGATGTCTCCATAAAGAGGACCTGTCATGTAAATTGGCTATCACATAGGGGGCATCTTATCCCTCTATGTGATAGTAATAAAGTTAAGTGTAAAAAAAAAAGTAATACAAAAATGAAAGCATAAAAATAAAATAAAAAACACTAAGTTTTTTTTTCTTCTAAGTACCCCGCCCACGACATACACACGCAAACATGCGTCGGGTGCGCCTACGTGCAAAAACGACGATTGCGCCTATTGTGCTGCACATGTTACATATCGCCGCGAACGTCGGAGTGTGAGCAATAATTCTAGGGCCATTAATCACTGATAACACTGATAACACTAAACTGATGAGCAGTAAAAGCTTTATAAGCGTCGCCTATGGCCAATTTTTGGTGTGGTTTTTTTTGCGATTTTGCGGGCGTGCACAATTTTAAGGCTTGGCATGTTTGGTGTCTATTTACCAGATGTGACCTTGTCTTATATTTTACCAAAAATATGGGTAATAATAAATGTTTAACATAACGTAGGGAAAACATTTCCGCCCCGAAATTTATGGTACATTTTTCATTATATAGTAAAAAACAAACCCACCCCCCAGTGGTGATTATATACCTCCAAAAGAAAGCTCTATGTGTCCCTAAAAAATGTTAACATAAATTGCAGGGCTATAGTTCATGCTGAC